TATTTGTTTGCTCTTCTTGATGTTTTATTCCTAATGTTGTTTTTGAAATTCCAGCACTACTTTTTAAGGGTAGGAAAAATTTAGTGAGAGAAGGAAAGCTTGTCTGAGAGGGACAAAAGGGGGCCCAGAAAGTGGGTTGCCTACCAACCCCGATTCTCCAGGGTGTTTTATTGAGGAAGCCATGACACGGTGAGATGGGCTTAAGGTGGGACAGAACTATAATTAGTCAATAAGATTACAAGTGTAGTCACTTAGGTAATATTGATCTAGTGGCAAATCATAGGATGGGTGTGAGGTTAGTCAACTGATAAGTATGCAATAAGTATAGTTGCTTGGGTAATATTGATTAAATGGGGATCAGGTGGGGAAACTAGTCACATAGCAAGTGCACATGGGAGGGACCAGGACTTTCCTGGAAGGGGTGGGTTAAAGGAGGTTTGGTCCTCCACCCCAAGGTGATTGATGCTTACTTAGAATATAAATTGCTGTTGTCCATCCCTAGCAGAAGTATATGGATGAGTAATTCTTTTACTTGAAGCCTGCCCTTTAGTGACTATGTCTCCAGTCACAGTTGTCTTCTCCATTGATCTTTCGAGGACCCAACCGTATCTGACTGCCTACAATATTTCTACCCCACTTAGCTATCTATAATATTCCCCCCTCTGAAGAAGTACCCCTAACTGCCCTGAGGGGGCAAGGGTTGAAGAACCATCTGGCTACTTCGAACTGAAGGGAGTCATCGTTGTCCAGCACTATTTTGAATAGAAGTGATAAGAGCTAGCATTCTTATCTTGTTCCTGTCGTTACATGAAAAGCTTTTCTTTCGTAATGTTGCTATCATTATTTAGTACAAGGTATTATCTGTTACAAAAAATATTTTATTTTGCTTTCAAGAGATTTATTCCTTATCTAATGCTGTTCCATTTTTATATAGACCCAAGTTTTTGATGTATATTAGTTTTTTTACAAAGAATTTCTTTTTATATTTGCAAAATATATATACTGGTGATACATTTCTTCAGTTTTTGTTAGTCTGAGGTCTTTATTCTTCCCTTACTTTTGTATTGTGATAAAATATACACAGCATAAAATGTACAACTTTAAATATACAGTTGAGTGGAATTAAGTATATTTCCATTGGTGTGCAAATATCAACATCTGTCAAGAACATTTCTCATCTTCCCAAAGGGAAATTATGTGCTCATTATAATTTTTCATTTTCTTTTGCTGCAGCCTTGACTTTGTATCCATGATTTTGACAACTATGTTTACTTAAGGTAACTAGAATCATACAGTATTTGTCCCTTTGTGAATGATTTACTTCACTTAGAATAAAGCTCTGGGTTCTATAAAAAATTCCTTTTATTTAGATTCTAATTCTATCAAATACAATTTTTAAAATTTTATTTTATTAATGTATATCACTTATACAGAACAGAGTTTAATTTTGGCATGAATATAGCATACTTTGATGGTGTTTCCCTCCTTGTTGCCCCCTTTCTTTTCTTCCCCTCACCCTCAGTCACTTTCTTTTTCTGTGATTGTCTCCCTGCTACTTCCTGTCATCTCTTTTATAAGAAGAATTTTAGATTTTACATATGATAGGAAAAATGTGTTACTTGATTTTCTGAATATGATGTATTTCACTTAACATGATTTGTAGTTCTATTTTCCTACAAATGTTCCAAATTTGTGCTTTATGGTTAAATAGTAGTTGTATATGTATATGTGTACCACCTTTTCTTTATTCCTGTATTGATGGGTGTCTAGGATACTTCATAGCTTAGCTATTATGAATTGTACCACAACATGTAAGGTTATGCAGTTATCTATATACTGTATCGGTTTCCTTTTGGGAATACACCCAGTAGTGGAATAGATAGATGAAATGGTAGTTGTATTTTTTGTATTTTTAGAAACCTCTATATTGATTAACATTGTGGTTGTACTAATTTATATTGCCTGCAACAGTGTAGAAGTGTTTCTGTTCCCGTACATCCTCACCAGCATTTATTCTTTCTAATTTTAAGAACTCTCAAGTTTTCATTCATTTTTACTATTATTTTTCTTAGTGCATAAAAGGAGGGTAATGCAGTTCATTTTGGTATATTTATGCATGTATACAACATAATTTGATGGTATTCCTCCCTTGTCCCTCTCTACTTCTTCCCTTACCCTGATCCCTTTGTTTATCTACCTTCTATTTGGTTTCTTGATAGTCTACCTTCTAGTCTGTTTCTTGATGACAGCCATTCTTCAGAATGGCTGTCATCAAGAAAGAAAAAACTTTTCTCATCAGAGAAATTGATTTTGAAGAGACAGTATAGAATAAGAGAAAATCCTTGCCAGCTCCTCTTCTGACAGAAGATTAGCAAGTCGAATGTATAAAAAATTCAACGACTTAACAGAAAAAAACACCCTAATCAATTAATAGGCAAATGAATTGAATGGACACTACTCAGATGAAGAAATACAATTGTTGAACAAGTACATTTAAAAAATTCAACATTTTTAATCATTCATTTAGGGAAATGAAAATCAAACTGTGCTTTTTATATCTGAATAATATTTCCTATTATGTATATAAGAAGTTTTATTTATTCATTCACCCCTGGATGGGTACATTCAACTTTTCAACTTTTGTGACTGTTGTTTTTATGGACATAACTATACAATTATCCTCCTGAGTCCCTGCTTTTAATTCTCTTGGATATGTACCTAGAAGTGGAATTGTTTCCCCAATCTTCACTGACATTTGTTATTAGGTTTGGTTTTCCAAAATGGGTATAGTAATGGATCTGAGGCATTATCTCATTTTTCATTTTGAGTTTTGTTTTTTGCATGATTTTTATTTTCATGTGATTATTGCACATTTGTGTAGGTTCCCTAGAAAAATAATTTGACCAATTTTTAAGGAAACTTTTGTTGTTGTGTTCTAAGAATGCTATTTCTTATGTTTTGGGACAGAGTCTCACTGTTGCCCAGGTTGTTTTGAACTCTTCGACTCAAGTGATCCTCCTGCTTTTTCCTCTGAAATTGGTAGGACTACCAGTAGGTGTCATCACACTCAGGTGAAATACTTTATATATTTGGAATATTAATCCTTTTCCAGATGTATAATTTGCAAATATATTTTATCATTCTATGAGTGGCTTTTTGGCTCAATTGATAAGATTTTTGATGCACATTTTTTTTAATTCAATAAAGTCTAATATGTATATATTTTGTTTTCTTGCATGTATTTTTGGTTTGATATCCAAGATACCATTTGCAAATCCAGTATCATAAGAATTCTGTATTTGCTTCTACAGTGTTACCATTTTAGCTCTATGTATAGGTATTTCTTGCTTTTTGAGATAATTTTTTGTGTATGGTAAGGGTAAGGTCTATGCCCATCTCTGTATATGATTATCTGCTTTTCTGGACCCCATTTGTTGAAAAGATTGTCCTTTCCCTAGTGAATAATCTTGGCACCCTTACTGAGATACATTGGTCAATATATGCAAATGTTCACTTCTGAAATGTCTGTTCCATTGGTTTATGTTATGGTTCAAATCGAAAATGTCACCCAAGTCTCTGAGACAGCAGGGTCTGTGAGAGGAGAATAAATCTGCCCTCTGTCCTTCCTCCATTATCTCTAGGACAGCAGGGTCTGCAAGAGTAAAGTAAATCTGTGCTCTGTGCTTCCTCCATTGTCTCTGGAGCAGCAGAGTCTGCAAAGGAGAGTAAATCTGCACCCTGTGCTTCCTCCATTGTCTCTAGGATAGCAGAGCCTTTGAGAGAAGAGTAAATCTGTGCTCTGCCTTTCCGTATTATCTCTGGAACAGCAGAGCCTGACAGAGGAGAGTAAATCTGCACTCTGCACTTCATCCATTATCTCTGGGACAGCAGAGCCTGCTAGAGTGAGTCCAGACTCTGTGCTTCCACCGTTATCTCTGGGATGGTGGAGCCTGTGAGACGAGAGTAAATCTGTGCTGTGTGCTTCTGACACTGTCTGTGGGACAGCAGGGTCTGTGAGAGGAGTGTGAGTCTGCACCCTGCACTTCCTCCGTTGTCTCTGGGACAGCAGAGACTGCAAAAGGAGAGTGAAACCTGAGACTATGTTCTGTGCTTCCTCCCTTATCTCTGGGACAGCAGGGCCTGTGAGAGGAGTGTAAGGACACCCGCCTTTGTCAGGTGAACTAACCAGAACTCCAAGACCTGAGACCCAGGACAACAGCTGAGCCCAGGGTGCCGGGACACACACAGTCCTTCGGAGAGCAGAGTAATCAGCAAGACCCGCAATGTGGAAGAGTCTGAATCAGCAGGGAGGAGGCAGCAGTTGGACTCTGGAGAACTCCACCAGTAGGAATCCAGTCCCAGCCCCCACATTCAGAGGCCAAGATCTGCTCCATACCCACCCCATTTCTAGGATTAAATATGGACACTATCACAGAACTGTAAACACCAGAGGTATTTTACTACTTTCATTCTCCCTTGTCTGCTTGATTGGCTATCTCTTTCCTGTCTGGTTGGATGCCATCTTGTTTTGTTTTGTTCTGTATTCTGTAGTTATTTTTGCATTCAGGTTTTTTCTCTGGTCCCCTTTTTCTTTCTTTTCTTTTTCATTCCCTTTTTCTTCTTTTTTAATGTTTACATTTCGGACCTTTCCTTTTCATTCTCTTCTATAGATCTTCTTTCTCTCTTTCCTCACCTACTTCTTGAATTTAAACTTTCAAGTGAGTAAACATTTCCCTGCCCTATCTGACTACTCCTCAGTATTCTATTTCATTCTTTCCCTCCTGCATTCTCCAGTTTCCCAAAACACAGGTGATTATCCTTTATTCTCCAGCCTTGACTCTACTGTAGTTGACATCATTCATGATTTTAGCTTGTCCCCTACCCTTCTAAACCCCCTACCTGCCTCAGAAGGGCAAAATCACTCGACTAAGGGGAAAATCACTGCATACAAGTGCACAGTAAATGTTTGATTTTATTATATAATTTTAGCGGTTGCTCTTGTGGTCAGAGGTAACAGAGTAAGGGCAACCACAGTTCCTCAGTAGTAGAGTTATACTTTAAACTATTGTTATTACTAACTGTACTACTTTAGTCAGGATATCATACATACGATAAACAGTTTTGCTCCCCTGTATAACAGCACCATGATTGTATGAGGTCATACTCATCCCCACAACCCAGTACAAAAGGATTAAGAGCTGAACCCAATAGTAAACTTGCATCCTTTACACACTGGGAAGGTAGGGTATTGGCACAACTATAAGAAACCACCTACATCTAGAAGACATCACTGAAAAACAGATATCCTCTAAGGAAACCTTAATACTAGTGATAAATATATATCATAAGAAACTGGCAAGTATCAGCATAGAAAACAAAACAAAAAGAGAAAATAGAAAATGATAAGACACAGAAGCAAAATGCAACCCCAGACCCCCGCTTCCCCAAGACAAGCCCAGAATTCAAGCAGATAGATGAGCAAATAAACAGATGGGAAAAGTAGGGAACCAACGGCAGAAAAATACCATGACCAAGATAAGCCAATACATATCAGTTATAACCATTAGCGTAAATGACCTCAATTCACTGATCAAAGGAAATAGACTGGCAGAGTAGATCAAGAAACAAGATCCAACAATATTAACACATTTAATGCAACAAGAAATTCATAGACTGAAAATCAAAGGATGGAAAACAATTTTCCATGCAAATGAACCAAAAAGAAATTAGGGATAGCTAATCTGTTTGTAGACAATGTGAACTTCAAACCAAGAATGATCAAAAGGGATAAAGAAGGTCACTATATACTTGTGAGGGGGAGCTTCAAGAGGAAGAGATAACAATCATAAATATATATGCACTAGAAAAAAAAGACAAAGGGGCTGGGGATTTAGCTCAGCGGCAAA